GGAGGCAAGGGGCAGACTGTGCCCCTCGACCAGGGTGAGGAAGAACCTGAGATGGCCCAAAGAACCCTTGCGGGTTCCCCACGTGGGGATTACTCTGGTGAGATGCAGCCAGGGAAAAACAGACTCATTCCCCTTCCCAGACTGCCCTGCTGTGTACTGGGCTCACCCTACATGTGCAGGGTTTCGGTGCTGGCACAGAGGTGGAAGGGGATGCAGCTGGGACACCCTTACAAACACACAGGGAGAAGGATGCCAAACAGAGATGCCAGCATGGGTACCTGCTAGCCTCCTGTCAGCTCTGACTGTGAGCACCCACAGTGTGAAAGTGCTGTGGACAATGCAGAGAATGTCTTGGAGGTACCGGTAAAGCACGTAACTACCTCATCCTTTCCCATGGCCTTGGGGAGCACTCAGGGTGGTGACAGGCACCTGGTGTCAGACGAGGAGGGGGTATTTGCTGTACCTGGCTGTCGAGTCCCAAGAACACCAGCATGAGGAAGAAAAGGCAGGACCAGAGCTGAGACACAGGCATCATCGTTACTGCCGTTGGATATGCTATGAAAGCCAGGCCAGGACCTGCCAACAGACTGCAGGATGACCACGAGCTCCCCCCACACCACCACCTGCCACCACCACCCTGCGGCACAGAGAGTAAGCTAATGTACTGCTTCAAAGCTCACCTGCCTACACAGGGCTGAAAGCCACATCAGAGAGCACTGGTCCTGCAGACCTTGCTGCAGACACCCACAGCAACAGAGGATGTTGATAACATCCCGGGCTTCACTTCAGAAAAATCCCCTCCCCTTCAGGTTTTCTGTTTTGTCTTGGCTCTAAAGTGTCCTGGAAAAACCTACCTGATTCAGCCACTTCTGCAATGGGTACACCCTGCTCTCGAGCCATGAAGCCCAGCACAGAGAAAATGGCAAAGCCAGCAACGAAGCTGGTGGCACTGTTCAGGAAGCAGAGCATGATGCAGTCCCTGCAGGGAGGAGACCAGAGAGAGATCAGTGTTTCCCGCTGCAGAATGGGTCCACTTGGGATCATGTCTGTACTCAGCTTCCCCAGTTGGACAGCATGGACCAAGGAACAGCAATGCTACTACTGAACTCCCTCAGAAGTAAAAGGCTCAAAACAACAGAGCCAAAAACCAGCCTACCTACCTTGTACCCACTGTTCAAGAACTATAGGACTATAGGTGGCACAAAGAGAGACATAGGGCACCACCAGTGGCTTGTGAATAGGATGCCACAATGATATATGTAGGAATGCCACTGGCAGTACATTACCCTGATGGTAGTAAAGCACTGGAGACAGGGGGCCCAGCCATGACCTTTGTATCATCTCCCCTGCCTAGCAAATGACAGCAGAGCTGGCTGTGCCACCACCGCTCACTCACCCTGTCAAAATAGCCTGTGGTATCTCCACAGTGGCTGGAGACAAGCTCCATTTTCATTCCTCCCCCTCTTCCAATCTCTCCTGTTTCCAAGTTGACTCACACAGGCAAGCGCTACTAAAACCATTTTCTAGAGCTCCTGTGTTCCCCTAGCCACGCTCCATCCCTGTGCAGAGTCCTCTGCAGCTTCAACACCAAGCAGCTCATTAGCAAAAGCAGCATGAGCCAAGGTCTCCCCTGGGGACAGAGCCTGCCTCAGATGAAGTTCTGTGCTGTTTATCTCCGAGCAAATTTCCAGAAGGATGAGAGGAGTCCAGGCTCCTCTTACCTGTAACAGTTGTTGGTGTATTTGTTGTAGCTGCCCAGAGCTGTCAGGCACCCCTGGCAAATGGCATAAGAGAAGAGGATCTGAGTGCCTGCATCCATCCAGACCTGGAACAGAGAAGGTCAGTGGTCTCCAGACTGTCAACAAAATAAAGAAATGGCTGTGCCCTGTCTAGAAACAACCCCTCCATCAGTGCAAACAAACCCCACAAGGAGGAATGGGTGTAGAAACCAAGACACCTCTTTGGGAAAACTGAGCTATAGTCCTGAAGGTCCTCTAGAAAAACGCTCTTGAGAGGACCATATTTTCCAGTCCCACTCAAAGCAACACAGGACACTGACTGATGCCTGACACCACTCCTCTATCCCACACCTTTGCTTTGTGGGTGGAGATGACATCCCTGATAGCATAGCTCCGGCTGCAGTTGGCACTGCAGGTGTCTGTGGTCCCTGTGTGGCTCAGGGTTCGCAGAACCACTGGTGAGTTGCCCCAAGAGAGGGCCAGTTGAGTCCTTCGCACGATCAACGTACTCGCCTCCCTGCTCCCAAGTCTGGTTTCCCACATCTCTGAAGTCACAGTGCAGGGTGAAAGGGGGAAAATTGCTGGGCTGAGAGATATCAGGGTGGTGGGGTGCCATGAACCCAGGTTCCACTTTGCTCTGGCATTGCGTGGGGAAAGTTGAGTGGGCTTGTTCAGTGCTGCTCCACCTCTCTCCCCCATGGAAGAGTCCCTTGTTTACTCGGTGTGTTGTAGGCTGAACTACAGCATTGCTCTCTTGCTCTTCCAGGGAAAGCCCTGAGCTGTGAGTTAGCAGACATGCAGGAAAATAGCCCACTTTTCTGTTGGTCTGTGTGTTCCCTCTCACTCTCTTTTTCCTCTAAGCAGCCCCCAGCGGTAAATGTCCAGGCAGCTGCAATTTGTCAGCCTTCAAAAAATCCCATCCCAGGCATTGCTGCTTAAACTCACACAGGTCTCACAGGTAGGCATGTACACAGGAGTCCTACACGCATGGGCACGGGCACGGGCACACATCCCACTTTGCACCAAAGCCCCACATTCTGCTCAACTCAGAAGCAGGATCTCTCACTCCTGCTATGCTGGGTTGCAGCAGCGTGGAAAGACCATGTCAGCTTTAGTTAGGCTGTGAAAGACAGGGAGGTTTGCAGTGAGTAAGCTCTGACCGTGAATAAAACATACTCAGCCCCAGTCACCCCCCTGTTATTTATTTTGATATTAAAATGCCATTTACGTTCAACTGGCTCTTTGCGTTCAGCACACCACAGATTTTGTATTGACAACACATAATTGCATCTGAAAGCCATTTGGGAGAAGACAGTGTGTTTGGCAGCTGGTTTGGGAGCAGTTGGGGCTTTGGCCATCTGGGAAGATGCGGGAGGTAAGCTGAGACTGTAGGCTAAGCATATTGCTTGGCTGCCTCCACTAAAAGATTCAGCTGTGGAATAATTAGCAGCAGTGTAATTTAAATGCTCTTCGGAGGGGGGGGGCAGTCTGCATTAACCCCTCCCTGGGATGGGGGAGGCAGCCTGTACATTGTTGCTGAGCCCACATGGGGAAGGAAAACAACCTGCTGTTACAGAAAGGTGCTGGAGCAGACACACGGGGGGGCATCCTCCAAGGTGGGGGTCCTGCCGCCTGCCCTGCACAGCCCCCAGGGGTGTTGCCCACATCCTGCCAGCTTGGGCTACCTTGCAGGTTCTGGGTTTAGCTGTACCCCCTGCCCTAATCTGGACTTGCCCTTTGCGGGTACACAGCATCCTCCCTGCTAGGGAGGGGTTTCCATGACCTCCAATAAGTGGTGGCAGGGGCCCTTTGGCCAGCCCCTGACCTGGGCAGGTGGGAGCAGCCCCCAGGACAGGCAAAAGGAACCTGCTGTCCAGCTGGGATGCAGCCCACGTTACTGGTGTGCATTTGGTCTCTGCAAGCACAGGGGCCCTGCACTCCCTAGGAGGGCCCTGTTGGAGCCAAGTAAAGAGCTAACCACATCAGAAAAAAATGAAAAACAGTAGATATTTCCCCCCCCGCCTTCCTTAATTATTTGCATTTAAGACCCAGAAAAACCATCTGTTACATACTGAATATTTCATATACTCTTCTGGTTTTGCTGAGCCCATGAGTGGAAATGACCTAATACACCCATATGCTGCGGATGCACAAGCAAAAAGGCTGTGCTGTGCAGGGGGACAAGACCCCTCTCAGCTCTTTTAAGGAGGTCTCACTGGTTTGCTAGTCTCCCTTCACAGAAGACAGCTAGATCCTCAGCTAGCAGCAGATCCAAGGGCCAGAGCGGTAGAAACCATCCCGTGGCCAGCACCTGCCTGATCCCTACCCACCTGAGGGTCTGCCAGCCTGGAAATGTCCGGCTTCAGGTAGAAGATGATCCCCTCAGTAGCACCCGGCAGCATGACTCCTCGTATCAGCAGGATGATAAGCATCACATATGGGAAGGTGGCAGTGAAGTAAACGACCTGCCGGAGCAGGGAAACAAGAGGAGAGAGGGTCAGCAGGGAGGGGGTGCAGGCATCATCACATCTTATCTGCAGGCCCCCACCCCTGCAAATGTCCCTGGACTCTGCTGTTGGCTACAGCTTCTACTGCTAGTGTAGGAGAGGGGTGAGAAAGAAATCAATCACAGTTACATCTCACTGGTGATTTAGTTAATCTACATTTTGTTCTTCACCCGAGACTCTGCCACTGGTTGCTCTGCTTTATTTTCTCTTTCCAATCAGTGCAATTTCCCTGCTCTCAAGCTGTTCCCTTCATCTTTCCAGAGCTGCAGAAGAAACGCAGGTCTCATCCTGTCACTGAGTTTTAATGAGGAGTTATTAAAATGGTCCTATTCCCAGCAAGAGTTTTCCAAATTAAATAGCAACTTTTGCTGCCCAATTTGAGACACCTCTGAGGGGTCTCTTTTCCAGGGGTTACTCGTGCAGCTTTCTCATCCCTTCAGTTCCTCTGAGCTCACAAGGATGAGATGGGGGCACCTCAAAGCCTTTAAAGCAAATGTAGACTGTTATTTTTGTAGAAACTTATTTTCACTTCTTCTTGTGTGTGAAGTAAATAAATATTACAGTAGAATTAATCATCTCTAATCCATTGCTTAATGTCTCATATTTTTTTTCTGTTTGCAAAATATCCGTGAGCAAGTTGCAACTTCCTAACATTTATCCATTATTAAAACTTGTCCAAGTAATGTGAAGGCTTGTTTACTCTATGGATTCATAGTGTGGGGCCTAAAATGATGTTTTTTTTCTGCTTAGTGATAATTGGTTGAATAAGTCACAGTACGTGGCACTTTTGCTGTTCCCTGATTGAATGAGAATGTGAGCACTTTTGGCATAAGTACTAAAATCTACCTTCAGAAATCACTTCTGGGGAACATTTATACACATCAGCTGAATGCATAGGGAAAGGAAACATGGGAAGAGCACAAGAGTGGGCAAAAGGAATAAAAGAAAGAGGCTTTTAAAGAAAATGAGTCTTCACTGAGTTATTTGAAATTATTTTCCTGAGGTCGCTATTGTTTCTTTAAGTTTGGACTCTTCAAATCACAGAAGCATAAACACAAGAGCCTGGCAGGGTTATCCAATTAGAGCAGCCTCTCAGTCAAGCACAACATCTTGTTTACTCTGTAGCTGTTAAACAAAATTATGCACCCACTCAGAATTCCTGTGACCTCTCTACTGCTTATCCTAATATGTAGATAGTTAGGAAAACGAAGGAAGAAGCTGATTTTTTTGACAGTTGTCCCTTTAAAACTCAAAATGACTACCTGCAGAGAAGACAAATGGCCTGTCTGACCTGTGGTATGTCTCAGGACAGAAAAACCCACCCTGTGTTGCTGCACCATGTCCATAACATCTGGCTGATAAAAAGTAACCCCTGTATCCTAAAACTTATGATGGAAAAATCTTCTGTGGTCTCAGGAAAACCATCCCAGCTACTACCTGCACTCCCTGTTTCCTCTTTCTGGTCTGACTTTCCATCTGCTGGAAATACAACACAGCGGAAAGGAAACAGTCTAGGAGATTCTTGGAGTGTGTGGAAGATAACTTCCTGACACAGCTGGTAAGCGAGCCTACCAGGGAAGGAGCCTTGCTCGACCTGCTGTTCACAAACAGAGAAGGACTGGTGGGAGATGTGGTGGTTGGAGGCCGTCTTGGGCTTAGTGACCACGAAATCATAGAGTTCTCGATCCTAGGTGAAGTAAGGAGAGGAGCCAGTAAAACCACTAAGATGGACTTCCGAAGGGCAGATTTCAGGCTGTTTAGGACGCTGATTGGGAGAGTCCCTTGGGAGACTGTCCTGAAGGACAAGGGGGCCCAGGAAGGCTGGACATTCCTCAGGAAGGTGGTTTTAAAAGTATAGGAACAGGCTGTCCCCATCTGCAGAAAGACAAAGTGCCAGAGAAGACAACCAGGCTGGCTAAACAAAGAGCTTTTCCTGGAACTCAAGGAAAAAAGGAGAGTATACAATCTCTGCAAGAAGGGTCAGGCAACCCAAAAAGAGTACGGGGATCTTGCCAGGTCATGCAGAGATAAATTTAGGAAGGCAAAAGCCCAGCTAGAACTCAGCCTGGCTGCAGCGGTAAAAGACAATAAAAAATGCTTTTACAAATACATCAGTAACAAAAGGAGAACCTTGGAGAATCTCCATTCCTTATTGGCCACGGGAGGGAACATTGTCACCAAGGATGAG